AGATTTCTATGATATTTAAGAGACGAGTACCGCCAGATCTCTATAGGTCTTTGCGAATAGTACGATATATTCGAAACAGACCACTGTTCAACAATTTTCTAAAATAATCCCAATCTAGTAATCTTAGTAATTAACTTGGAAAAAATAGAATATATATTGGATAATTATATATATGTTAATAAGAGATTTCAAATACAGGATAATTAGGACCGTATGTTTGGACATGTGTAGATTATGTTGTGGGGTGTATGTGTTAAATTTTCCTGTTTTTAATGGTATTTCTTATATTGATTTGATTACAGTATGCTATTTTTTCCACACATCTGCAATTACGACCGCACCAAATATGTGACAGTAGCGACACGGTATGTAATCCGAAATGTTTGGTGCTATTATGAGGTTTAAGAGACTAGGGAAAGTCATTTTTTTTCTGAGGTCTGATAGGTTCATTTTTCCATTTTAGAATTTTCAGACGGATTTCGCCTTTGACATAGGTGTGGCACGTCTACACGGGTAAAATTAAGTATGATCATATGAATTGACATAACGCTTGGAAGCTACTATGTTTTCATAATTTATACATCATCTGGACTCAATTTTAGATTCGCGTCAGTTATCAAAGACGACTTATTGAATAACAGGATTTGCCGCGATGTCGATGTATATATGAAGACGATTTTAGAAGAATACCAGAAGTCGTTGGGGAAGAGTTAGAAGTTCTTTAAACACGTGTGAATTCTATGGTATTTGTTCTAATAATAAATCTTCGAGCAGTATACTTAGCATAATCCTGGAGAGGCATTTAGCAATTGATTTATGATATAATACTAGAACACCCAGTATGGATACAATCACTTGTTTTAATATACTGCAATGTTTCAATAACATTTCACATAATGTACACATGAGACATATACAGTCGACAATACCGTTAATTATGTTTTTGGAGAATTTATTTTTTGATTACATTTATAGTTTGAGTTATTATATTAATACATAAGTTAACAATTATAACAAATAAATTATTGTTTGTATTGGTGACCGTAACTTTAAATGATTTGGTCGTAGTCTTTGGGGAGGTAAACGCCTTGGTCATGATTAAGGGTCGGGGTGTGTCGGCGTAAAATGTCGTATTGTCGTGTTAAAATGTCCTGATGTCGGGTTGTCGTGGTGTAGTTGTGGTGGTGTCGGGTTATCGGCCATATTCCTCTCAATACTATGATTATGTACACTGATCATGGTGTTGGTCAAGAAAGTTCCCCGGGTTTTTGCAGCGTAATTTCTCCCTGTCGGTAAATGCAGGATAAAGGGATGGCAAAGTACAGTGTCTAGTTGTGTGGATGGGACAAAAAAAACAAGCTCCTGTGTACACATTGGCGTGTACATAAAAGAATCCTTCACAGTTGAATTTCGATGAAGAAATGCCAAGGTCCATTGAAAATTTCCGTCATAGCACTCTGCATAGCTCGTGCCTATTTCCAATAGCCCGATTGGTGCAGAAAATTAGAAAAATTGAATGAAATAAAATTGTGTTTAACGTCCCACTGTCCTGCTCACATTGTACTGTGAGGGAAACTTTTCCCGGATAGCGGCGCTACGGCCTACTTTTATATTGAATTCCACCTGTCAGGTTTTTTTTTTACGTGCTCGCTAATATGTACACGGAACCTCGATTTTTCGTCCCATCCAAACGACTATACGTTATCCCCTGACAGGCCCTCCGTCCTGTACCACTGTATAAAGTTCTAAAAGATCTGAGAGGTAAACAGGAGCTAAATTATTTAAACATTTAAAAGTAAGTAATAAAATCTTAAAATCAATTCGATATTTAACAGGTAACCAGTGTAAATTATATAAAACAGGAGTTATGTGGTCACATTTCTTAGTTAAAGTAACAAGTCTAGCCGCAGTATTCTGTACTTTTTGAAATTTATCTATAAGCTTTAAAGGTAAACCTACTAAAAGTGAATTAAAGTTATCTAATCGAGAAGTGACCAGAGAATTAACAAGTGACTTAGTGGCCTCTACAGTTACACATTTACATATTTTACCTATATTTCTAACATTAAAATAACACAATTTACAAATATTATTTACTTGAGCTCCCATAAGCATAAAACTATCAAAGATAGCGCCAACATTACAAGCAGAATAAGATGAAAATATATCACAATTACCAATTACAACAGGGGGGTTATCTTGTGCAGATTTACTTAATTGATGCCTTTAGCCTAATAACAAATATTCGGTTTTATCATCATTCAATTTTAGAAAGTTCTTTGACATCCATTTTCTAATTTCACTAATACAGATTTACAAAATCTTGTATGTTTTTCATATAATTAATTACGTCAAATTTTAAGATAACATTTATTATGTTACTTTATTATCTGTAATAATGTTATTTTTTTTTAAACAATCAATATTGTTATTGAGAAAATCTGAATGGAATCTGGTAACTGGCTTAGCCTATGTAAAACACCTTTTTCTGAATTTGAATGTTCAGGAATTCATTCCAATTTTAACTTGATTTCTAGAATATTTGTATTTGTCTAAAACCTTATATTGATTATCACACACTTTAAGTAGATATTGCAATGTTGGCTCTGCGCAATGTTAATTAGATTATTCTGATTATATCCTTTGTTTATTTTCAAATCTTGTCCCAGACAATACACAGACACAGTTGGGTTATTACAATGCCTGCACTTATTAGTGGCCCAATAAACTTGATACATCAAAGACAATTATCGGAATATGTGAAAACTAAAACAATAGTCTGATATTTTGGTTTTAGAAAATGTCGGAATGGGCGTGGAAAAAGCTGAGTTAATCTTTTTATTTAATTCTATTGGTATATTAATCGAACTTGCAAATTTAGTGCTTACCTGTAAAAGAACCAATCAAAATAAATTATTCATTAAATAAGTTAGAAATATTTATGACAGGATTTTTCGATTTCACCGTGGAATCGAGCTGATAAGTCAACCGTGTTCTTAAGCGTTGTGGTAATTTCTTCCTGGATTAGTATCGATTAATTACATAGTCGAGCGGCATTGTTAGAACCAACCCCAACAGAGATATATTTTTTTTCAACTAAGTATGCAGAGAAAACAAGAATATGAGGTTTGTTATATTTTTTAATCCAATGTTGCCTATTTGTAATGAAAATTTAGAATTAATATTTTTCGTTTCGGTTGAAACCCTAAACAACTATACACTAATTTTTTATTTGCCGAAGGACGTATGGTTTTGGCCGGCAAACTGGAGATCAAACAATAAATTTCGAGGTATTTGAGGTAGGCTAATCTAATATTCTATCATATCCTAATGTTCATAATTGATTTTCTATGTGATTAATTATTCAAATAATCATTATTGGGATGCACTATCGACTCTAGCCAGTCCTGAATTGCAATGATTGTTTTGCGCCCTGTTGTTCACTTGACGCCATTTTGAAAAACATACTTGACCTACATATAACTGATTGTTATCCATTTTTCAGATTGCAGTAGATTTATGCAATATAATGCAGCGATAGTGCAGTCTAATTGCTTTAAAAGAAAATATGAATTCGGCCAAAGACCAACAATAAAATCAAGGTGATTATTATTCATGTATTTTCTTTATGCAGAGTACGTTAGCTATTTGTAAATGCCTAGTCGTCTATTGTCAAAGTATGAGAGTTAATAATTTAAACTTCAAATCAGTTATACTCATGATATGTTGTATTTATTCAAATTATACCTCCCCGAGAATTGTATTTATCCAATTGAATAATAAAAACATGACTTTTATTATTTTATTTCTTCACGTCAAGAACATGGATGATTGGTAATGGCCTTGTATCACTGCATACGAGGTAGTTATATCCAATAATAGAGTGAGAAATCGGGTTTGAAGGTCACTTGACACAAACTATGCCATACATGTATTAAATTGGTCGAATCAAGTAGGTCCCTGCTAAGTCCGACGGTGCCGTTTCCGCCCTCTTTCCGAGGATTCTCATTCTATTATTACCATCTTTGTGTGCATAGGCGTACGAGCTGGGGGGGCTGGGGCCCCCTCCATTTTGGGCACCAAATGCTGGGAAAATTTGGGCACACAGTTGTATAAAAAAATATTGTGTTCTTGAATGTGTCCAATTTAACAGCGAATTTATTATTATTATGTAACATACTAAGAACGCCTATGTTTGTGTGTTGTGTTATATTAATTCTGCATAAACCTGGATTTGTTGTTGGTGTTTGTTGGATAGGTAATATATCTATTACTGGTGCTAAGTAATTTCAGGACTAACATTTAAGGTTCAATTTCATTTGAATAAAAACCCACGAGACTGGATAGGCGACCCTTTTCCAAGTCACATATTTGCATATAAAGAAAGTACAGACTTAAATATCACTAGAAAAAAAAACTGGATTCACTTAAACCAAAAATGGCCATGCACAGAACAAAAATTTATATTAAGGGTATCACAAATTGGCGGTCGAACTGTGGCAGGGGTGCTACAGTCTACGAATTCCAACTACCAAGGGATCGAATCCAATTTACATTTACTCGCAAGTCAATGTGTACACAGGATCTCGCTTTTTTGTTCCCTCGAAACAACTAGGCATTTGTACTTGTCAGGCCCTCCACCCTGCACCTCTGACAAGGGGAGACCACGGCAGAAAATCTAGATGAGCTTTCTCGGTTGACACTGGCTAGCGAGGCAGAGCCTTACTCACTCAGCCACAATGACTCTCTTCTAATTACTGTGACAGTCCAGTCACATGACAAACAAGGGTTGATAAAATGGATTTTTACGGCTTAGGTAGAGGATTTGTTTGAAACAAACTTTTGATAGATATTTTAGTTTAAATTTCCTATCACACAGTTAGTATATTATTAGCAAATAATTACATGTCATGTATTTATTTTTTTCAGTTTCAATATTAGATGACATAGCAAATCACCCAGGAAAAGATCATACATGTGTATAATAAAATATGTCAAAAAACACAAAATGGAAGAAGTAAGAGCTGAAATGATAATTAGAGCACATATAATTTCTGCTCGGTGTTTTGGAGGGGTAAGTGTTCAATTCTAATAGAAAAGATTGTCATTATGGTATTGTAGAATCTCATCATTGCATGATATATCCCGGTTGAGCTGATGTGACATAAAACTCAATTCCATTTCAGTTTAGTATAGTAAAACTCTGCACGTACATATACATGTATGTGCACGATGATGGTGGGTTTGCTCCCGATCTTGGCCTAGAAACTTCACTGGAGTTTTCCGACATGGTATCTCCCTGTCAGTGGTGCAGGACGACATATGTCCAGTTGTTTGAATTCAACAAAAAACTAAGGTTCCATGTACACATTGCTGTGCACGTAAAAGACCCCCTGGCAGTTGGAATTCGATATAAGAGTAGGCCTTAGCGCCACGGTACCGGGAAAAATTCCCCTTAAAGCACACTGTATGACATATACCCATTTTCATTAGCCAATTCGGAGCAGAGATGCAGGAAGTTAAACCCCTATTTCATTTCATTTTTTCATCTCATCTTTGACAAAGCAAACCAACACATCACACATAGGCCTACAATGTAATTAAATTAACACTTTCATTTTTTAACTGTGTAGTCAATTTAAGTCAACTAATACATGGTATGTTTTTTTTTTCAGTTAACCACATTGGAAAGATCCAGACAGTTGGAAATAGATATTCTCGTGGAAACTTTTTCTCGCAGACCTTGATAATCAGGCAAAATGTAAGTACCATCCAGGAACTGGCTCTATACACTTGGTAATCTAGTTGTCCCCCGCCTTTCGAAGAAAGCAGGGGACTATTAAAATGGGTTCGTCTGTCTGTCTGTCTAATTGAGCTAGAATGTTCAAACTTGGGGTAGGTGTTTTTAGGTCAATACCTAGATGGAGTTCAAAGATGAGCATTTTCTGCTGAGGGTAAGCAGAGATAAGCAATTTGATTGATTGATGCTTTGGGACACGATAATATTGGTTTTAATTAAGTGAGAGTGATGAAACGTGTTGTATAGTTTCATTGCATCAATACCTTGACTAAGTTCGATAATGAACACTTTCTGCTTAGGGTAAGCAGAGTGATAAGCAATTTGATTGGACGAGAATTTGGAACACAATAACTCTCCTTCTAATTGAGCTAAAAAGTTCAATTTTGGTGTAGATGTTTATTAGGTCAATGCCTTGACGGAGGTCGAAGATGGGCATTTTGTAAGCAGAGATAAGAAATTTGATTGGTTGATGCTTTGGGACACGATAATTTTAGTTCTAATTTAAGTGAGAGTGATGAAACTCAGAATATAGATTCATTATACCATTACCTTGACTAAATTTGATGGTGAGAATTTTCTGCTTAAGCTAAGGAGAGATAAGCAATTTGTTTGGCTAAGACTGTGGAACATAACAACTCAGCTTTTAATTGAGGTAGAATGTTTAAACTTGATGTAGATGTTCATTAGGTGAATGTCTTGTCCGAGTTCAATGATTAACATTTCGAGTTAAAGCTGGGCAGGGCTAATCAATTTCATTGGTCGATGCTTTGGGACAAGATAATCGTGATTCTACCTGAACATTAAGTGATGAAACTTAATGTATAGTTTGATTGCTCGATACTTTTGAAAAAAAATAAATGTGCGATTAATTAATGTGTCATCTATTTATTTTGGGATTTCGGTAGGGGACATAGCCTCCCTATTGGTTTGTTTTTCTTCTTATGGCAATGACTAGTATTCTGCTATTTCAAGTGTAGGGAATCTAGATTTGGAGACACAATACATGTTTAATCTGGGTGATTAGCTGCCCTATTATTTGACTTTAATACCAAATTTCAAGACATTTGTCCTGACTTCTGACCCATTTGAGCATAATAATCTGCTTGGGTCTGTAACTGGACAAAACATGATATGTTTTATGCAAAGCTGTAACAAAATAGATACTCAGTCTCGATGTGGCAAAATAAATTGTTTATTTATACATTGTGACATTTGGAATGTTGATAGAAAAAGTTATTGTGTTATATATTGACAACCCCTGCATAAGTTATAAAATGATGGAATTCATTCCTTATTTTTCAGGATCCTGGAAGAGTATATGATGTATGATAACAACGAGAGAACCCAACCACACCTTTTGAATATTACACCATCAATTTAATTCTGGAAAAGAATGCATTTGACCCATTTTTTTTCATTTTTTTGTGTTTAATGTTAAATGTATCCGAACACAATTATATTTTCATTCTCTCTAGAAATTTGTTTATAATATAGAAGGTAGAATTTGGTCGGAAATCATAAAGTATCTAATAGGCATTTCTGAAAACAAAATGTAGATCAAATTTTTAATATTACAGAATTACAAAAAAACCTTTACATTGCTTATGAGATCAAATAGGTTTTAATATCCTATTTTTCTGTGTTATTAATTCTGCCCTACAACCTACTCTTATATCAAATATTTCAACTGTCAAGGGTTCTTTTAACGGAACCCAGGGGGGGGGGGGGGCGAAGTGTTAACACGTGAACATTGGATCAGAAGGTCTGTCATTGAGTCAAATAATTCAATTGTCACGGGTTCTTTAAAGTGAACGCAGTGGGGGTGGTTTTGATCCGGGCTTGTACCCAATTGTCGAGTGGACACTAAACCTCATTTCTAGCTCTCTCTTTAAAATACATGGCAATGTGTATATGAGACCTAGGTTTATTGTCCTATCCAAACGACTATATATTGTCTCTATGCCATGTCCTACACTACTTACATGGGGGAACTATACTGGGAAATCCAATTGAAATTTCCCGGCCAAAGCCTTATATTCACTGTCCCCCTCCCCCTGCGTATGACTTGTAATTATATATAAATATTTTGTACATATTATTTAATATTTGCCATTTTCTCTGATATCTTTATATTTTAATCCTGCAATCTTAATGCTTTGCTCCTTTTATGTACAAAATATTCATTTTGTTTGCCTTTTTTTTAATGAGGAAAGGGTTCTACATCATTTTATTACTCCTGCAAAATAGTGCATTTTTCTTTTGTTAATTTTTTGTGTATGCTAATAATTCCCAGTACTTGTTTCAGGGTAAAGAAAATTTTAAATACCTATTTTATATTTTGTGATGGGGGGGGGGGGGATTTTGTCATTATATAACACAATTTTATTAATATTATTTCTGCTTTTCTGTTAACATTCCAAATGTCTATTTAGTTTTGATTTGGTGCTATTAATTTCCTTTTCTTATCATTTTATGAATAAATAATAATTTAACAAAAATAATTATTGTTACTTCATTTATCAAACTTTACAGGTTAAACAGAGCAAAAGGAGGGGTGCTGAATGGGAAAGGTTGCTATACTGGATAAAAATTGGGGGAAAATACAACACAAGTTTTTGTTGATAGTTATACACAGGTTTGTTTGAAACCACAAAAGTTTCAACATTTAACACAAGTTTGTGTTGTTTCAACACAAGTCTTTTTTTCAGTGTAGCTAAGATTTACTGTTATTTCGATTTCCAACTGTTAAGGTGTCTTATACGTGCTTGCCAGCGTGTACACGGTTCATCAGTTTTTCGTCCATCGAATAAAACACAGCAGGGATCGAAAACGGGATCTAGAAGAAAAATAGGTGAAAACGATGCTGTCCGGTAAGGCGAAAGCCTTTTAACTCTGTGCAAGATGATTGATCTTTATCAGTAGTCTAAATCTCATATACGGCGACGTAATTTTCCAAATTTTCTGCGCGAGGGCCCTCGTATCTCGCATAGCTTTGACCCTTCGGAATTAAGCGCCTCCGGCGGTCGATCAATAGCAAAATAATAATAATATACACACCCATTCCTTATGCTGCAAAATGTGTATCGTATACAAGGCAGGTAATGATTTCTCTTTGTTCTGAAGTGCACTCTTGTTTTATGACATTCAGCAAACACCGTCAATATCTTTTTCTTAGTAATAAATTTTGGATTGGTCGACGCCATACTATTTGTAAGTGTTTATCATTGTATAGCACAGTATTATCACATTAAACATGCAGACTTCTACTAATCTCACTAACACCTAAATTCATCAATATTTTTTTTTTCCTTAACAAAGACAGAATCACAGAAAGTTTCATATTACTGTAGATCCTTACAAGCAAGTGCGTCTTAGATTTCAAACTTGTTTATGTTGATACAATTACATGTAGTGTCATTAATGTGCAACCCGATAAAAGCGAATAATCAGAGGGTTTCCAGAATATCGAATTTAATGGTATGTTTTCACATTACGAAAACAGATAATAAACGAAGGTAAACAAAAACCTTGTCACGGCAAACCAGCATGGCTTATAGAGAGAGGCGGGGTCGTCAATCAGACACGTTTGTATTCCTTGAAAAAGTATCACAGAACTTTAGATTAGAGCGTTTCTAAGATACGTTAGATACGGTTTCTTTAAATCAAAATAGTTAATTGAATTCAAACCAAGTTCCCCACGTATACTCTTTGCAAAAAAATATGCTGGGTGAAAATGAATTTAAGTCATTATAAAATTATGATCTTCTCATAAACTCATAAACAGTAAATTGTGAATAAGTCTGGCTGCATACACTCGGCCATGACTTAACGAGAAGTCAAATTTATTAAGTATTTTACGAGCCAACTGACCTCTACAATCTTTTTATTTCAAGTTGTTATTTTTATCAATTGCTTCTAATGTCAGGGTTTGTAAACCCAGCTTTAAAATCAACCTTCAGAATAGATAAGAGGCCTTCGTAATTAAGTGTTCATTGATCTGTCAATATAAATATGTTATAACCTACCTTCTCTTTCTCGCCGCTGAGCCTTTCCCAGACTGGAAGGGATATGGGGACAGGTTATTACGGGGTAAAATAACGGGGAACCGTGGTACCGCTTGTGAGCAATCGTGGCCAAACGTTTTACACAGCCCAATAACGATCAGCTAGTGCAAAGACTTATGTTTGAGCAAGAGGAGTCCAGTCGGAGAAGAACAGTAGAACGTTAAACCCCATTTCATTTCATTTCATTTGAAGCACGGGGTTCAATAAAGTCCAGTAAGCATCAGCTACGGCAATGAGTTCAATAAAGATTAAGCAAATAGTTTCACACAGTCTAATAAAAAAAACAATTAGAGCAAACATTTTCAAAAAGTCCAGCTAAGTCCAACTACAGCAAAGAATTTCACATAAACCAAAAAACCATGAGATAGAACAATGCGTTGCATTCAGCCCTATAAAGATCAGCTCATTATAGAGAGCGGATATCGCAAATAGGCGAACAATTCCACACAATCAAATAGAGCTAATGGACAAACAAAGCACAACAAACAGTACAATTATACATAAAAAAATATGAGAGTGTATATGGCCCAAAAATATGTCACACAACATATAACGATACATTTAGCAAACACCAGAGGGCGTTAGTTCAAGTATATGCCCCAAGAAAAGAAACGACAAGATTTCTTAATGTGGAATTTTTGGATTTAGTTTCGTGCAGTGGCGTAATTGTGGAGACATTAGGTCATGCATGATCCACTGAGATTTTGACCAGACATGCCAAAAACTGACTATTCCTGAAAATAGTACACTGCAACTACTTTTGCGTAAACACTGAAATTCGATAGGGGTCATTATAATACCGACTATTCCAGAAACTATGGAATTTGTCATGAATTGTACTCTGTAGAGTGAGTATGGATACGGTAAAATACGTTTATCAACAATTGTACAAGTCAAAGGCCATATTTTTTGTGAAAACTTTCAAAATCGACAGGAAATGAACGTTGGCCAAGCATTTAACTGTATGAAATGTGTACGGTTACGTACGTTTATCGCCAATGCCTTGAGACCAATGGTAAATAATGTTGAAAATTTGACGGAAATTGATCACGTTAGTACTTTGAAGATCCACATTGGTCTAGGACAATGACATTGGAACCTATTTTACGATAATGTCCCAAATATATAGGAAACATACTAACTAATACTAAAACAATTTGGCCTATTCCGTGAAAAACTATGTAGAGCGAATGCAATAAAGTTTGGGAAGACGAATATTTATCAGAACTTCCATAACAATGGTTATCACATGTATTATTATTCCATATGGATGTCCATATAATTACTAGCTATAATTATTATATTTGTATTACTATACAAGTGCGCGTAATGATGGTCTTCTAGAACCAGCGGCTGCCAGGCAGAATACGCCCACATTTTACAAGAGATGGATAGCGAACAAGCTAAAAACAAAACAATTTTTTGTACAATCAGGGGCCATGATTCAGAAAGTTATGGTCTGAAATGCGCAAAAATCAAAAGGGACGCAGATTTCGGAATATAAAGATATGTTTTAAGTTTTATCAAAATTGGATAAAAATCGAGACCTCTAGAGGGTCCATAGCCTTTGTGTACAAAAAGCGGCCATTTTGTCGGGCACTTCCATTTCGATTTTCCCGAAATTCCAATTCAACCTTCATTATGGTGGAATGGTGACATATCTAAACGGTTTTTTAAAATCGGAAAAAAAATTGTGACCTCTAGAGAATCCACAAACTAAAAATGTGATTTTTCGGCCATAATCCAGGAAGTTACGTTCGGATATGTGTGATTATCAAAAGGAACCAAGATCTTTATGATAAAAACATATATTTAAAGTTTCATCCAAATCGGATAAAAACTGTGGTCCACAACCTTGTTATACCATATTTTTACACTAATTGCGTACAAGGGGCGGCTATTATGTCCGTCAGTTTTTGTTCGATTTTCACGAAATTCGAACTCAACCATCATTAGTGTATAACTGTGATATATTCACACGTTTTTTTTTTAAATCGGATAAAACTTGTGACATCTATAGGGATCACAAGCTCCGGTATTTAGTGTGTTTTCCGGTATTTAGTGTTTTTCCGGTGTTTTCCGGCATTCAGTATAACATGGTGTTTTCCGGTATTTCCCGGTGTTTTTCGGTATATTGTATAGCCCCTTTAACGCTAATCAAAATTTGTCCCCTAAATTCGGGCTATACTATATACCGGAAAACACCAAAAAACACCGGAAAACAGCGGAAAACTACCAGAAAACAACATGTTATACTGAATACCGGAAAACACTAAATACCGGAAAACATACTAAATACCGGAAAC